ATTAAGAGCAAAAAAGGCCTTTTCARTGATTCATTTTTTTATATATAAGTAAGAAAAGGTTTTTAAATCTACAGGTTTCTGTACCTCAGAGTTGTTCAGGAAGGAACAGCAGCAGCCAAGTCACGCTCTTGTGTGTCAGGCTTTCGTGTGGCACCTGCTGCCTGCCAGACAGATTAATTTAAAAATACTTGGGAAAAAAAAAAATAAAAAGGAAGGCAGGAAAGGATTTTAGACAGGCTGCATCCCTCCTCTAGTCTTCATCCTGACTGGAATGACAGTGCTTTTGTCACTGAGGCTCTGTCAGCTCTGAGCCCTTCCAGGATGTTTTTCCCTGCATCGATTTTGACTCGAGCGCTGTCAAACTCTGGGGGAAAAGATCCCAGCCCTGCTTTGGTTTTGGCATGAAGGCATCGAGTAGAAGGRCAGGTACTGGGCTGAAAAAGGTGTTGAATTGTGAGTAGCTGACCCCAGGAGGTGTTCCCAGATGGGAGATGTTCCCACAGCTCCGGCTTCTCCACGGGTTCCTTAAATGATGCAGAATTTCTGTTCCTTGGTTATTCTCTGTTTCTTTGACTCAGGATGAATCAAAAGCCTAATTAAGATCAGGTTCTGCAAGGATTTAGGAATATCTCTTCATTTGTCATATTTAAACCTTCTAGGAGGATTTTTTCCCTTGGTGTTCATCTGTSTTGATGAAACTGGAGGTTTGTGTGYAGTAACCATCRATTTCTTCAGCTGAARGAAATCCTGTCTTGATCCCATCCTCCATCTCCAGTGGGGTTGAGCTTTCCCTGTGCTCACCCTGTAGGGTCTGTTTTGGTTGGTATTCCTGAAAAATGTTTCATTTCTAATTTCTGGCTGCAAAGGAACCCAAATTTGGCCTCGTTTGCAAGGACTTGGCCTTCAATCCCAAACTAAAATCCTATAAAGGTTTGGGTTGGAAGGGACCTTAAATCCCATCTCATTCCAAGAAATGTCATTTTTCCTTCCTCAGGTTCAGTTTGCAGCCCTTGATATCCCAGACCTGCAAAACACAGTTTCCATGTTTTTATTTTTTTTAGGATGTTTCTTTCAGCCTGCTGTCAAATCCTCCCCAAAGMCACATTTTCGTGTTCCTTGTCTCACTGTTTACACTCCCCAGGGCTGTCAGCAGCACAAACTCCTTTTGGTTGAATTCTCAAGGGTCTCAATCTCTTCAAAACACTGTCAAATAATCCCAGAATCGAATCCCAGAAGGGTTTGGGTTGGAAGGGACCTTAAAATTTCACCCTGCCATGGACAGGAACACTTCCCACTGGACCAGGGTGCTCCAAGCCCTGTCCAGMAAAAGGTTTGGGGCAAAAGGTTTGGGGACATCACATCCAGGGTTTGGGGATATCACATCTGGGGTTTGGGGACATCACACACAGGGTTTTGAGGATGAAGAGACATCCCAAGGTTTGTATAAATTAAAAAGGGAAGATAAAAATTACACCCCAGCTCAGTGAGAGGGT